GAAAAACCGCTGGAGGCTCAGTTACGGGGTGGCTCTGCCTCTATGCCACACAACAACAACAACTACATGATACTGAGCAGATTTCAACAGAGCTTCCAGCCTGAGAAGTGCTAAGAAGTGTGTGTTGATTTACCTCCCAAACCCCATGAATCATAGCAAAGCAACGCACAATGGATCTGGGAGAAGCACAAATGAAGGCAGTACTGTGTTCCTTCTGCCGGGGGTCTCTGTGAATCGAGGACCAACTCAACTGCAGTTAACAACAGTAACAGAAGCTGAAAAACTAAGTCTTTCTTACTCCTCTCTTCACTTTTGAAATGAACCTTTCAGAAAGAAGTCCTTTGCACCTTTCTCTGCCCTGGCTCTGAGCGGGCCCTACTTACCTCTGTCGTCTCCCCCTCCGTACCTCGGCCGGCACATGAGCCAATGCCTTCCAGGCACGCTTGTGTACTTTCTGACATTAATATCTCTTCAAGCTGAATAGGCCTAGGGCTAGCCAGTTCTTTCTTTCCCTGTCGGCCGTCAGCAGCTGTCATTCAAACTAATTGCTGGTATTCCGTTGTAATTGCATCTGGATTGGAAGAAATCATAAAATATAGACAAGCTACTTTTTCTTGACTTGAAAACCAGTGGCCAGCCATTCCACCTCTCTCAGGCAATTGTTTTTGTTCTCTTTCCAGGCCTTCATCTTCCTTCTCTCATTTGTCTCCATTCATCCTTTCTCTCCTTGCAGCACATAAAAGAATCAATCTTTCTTATTTTCTTTCCCCCTCAAAAAGCCCTACACTCTCTCCAAGCTTAATTGCATTCTTAGTACTTTCCATATGCACTTATTAAGAAAGATTTCTTTGGTCGGGTCCACAGCGTATTTAATCATAATTCAATCTGAGAATATAGAACTTATGAAAAAGGGTGCCAGAATAGTTTGAGGTTATGTTGTCTATCCTAAGTGGGATAGGTTTGCCTTAATACTCAATGGAGTAATTCAAAAACCCTGTCTTGCTATTGGTATGAGGTGCCGCTGAGTTGACCAAAACTCACAGCAGCCCTGTGACCCAGGGATCTGGACTCTGCCTCGTGCTGTGCCGTCCTCAGCATCTCAGCTGTACTTGAAGTCATGGCTACACACACTCAATGAGACACACTCAGTCCATCTGAATGAGTCTTCCCCTCTTTTGCTGACCCTCCACCTGTCTAAGCACGAGTATGTGACATGAAGCTTCACTCTCCGTGCCCCTAAGGAACATTCTGATTGCACCTTCTCCAAGACATATTGTTCCTTTGATACTCTATTAGATATTCAGTACTTGTTTTCAATTTTGTGCACTTATTTATGTGTGTGTGAACATAGAATGAGATGGTGATTTCAGATGAAGTTATAGATGCTTTGCAATGGAATTTTTTTTAAAAAGTATTTTGTAGTCCCAACATTTTCTACTTGTCTTTTGAAAATAGAATGAAAAATTAAAAAAAAAAATAACCCCAAAGCAACAAAATCCAACAAACTAAACCCAAACTAACCAAAAACAAAAGCCAAACCCACAAAAAAAAAAAAAAACCAAAAAAACAACAACACACCAACCAACCCACAACAAACCAAAGGTTAGAACATTTAACTAGATAATGGAGTTGAAAGTGAAAATATTTTTTTCATTCTTCCCCATATTCCTATTTCTTTTAACAGGCTAGTTTAAGATGAACCACAGGTTTTGAATCCAGAAGACATTTTCTTTTTTTAAAAAAAAAACCAATAATATTTAAAACAGTAAAATGTAGCAAGAATGAATTGGCAGTGATAGGAAAATAAGTGTGTAGAATATGAAAAATGTTAAAAAGGAAACTAAATTTAGGCATTGTTCTGTGATAACTGGAGTACTTTTGTGCTTTTTTTTAACTATAGTACATGTGATTGCTTACAAAAGTGTTATCAGAACATCTTTCATTCTGGAAGATACATTCATGACCATCAGTATTCACAGTTTCCTGGTATGTATTCAGACATACACTCGGACTTAGAATCTGGTAATAACAGAGAAGGCTTAATGTCCATTCTAATTGCTATTTTAATCAGATGTTGACTACACTGCTCTCAACTTGTGAGCTTTCTTAATGATTTCTGTGGGATGTTGGCTTTGTCTCCTCCAGCTACATTCTCCTTTCTTGATTCAATCTTACTAAGATATAAAACGTACATATTGTTGTTGTTGATTGCCACTGAGTTGAGCACACCTCACAGCGACCCTATGAACAAAAGGCCTAAAACCTTTTTATAACTACCAACATATCAACGTGTTGATTGTGGACCCAAGTAAAACAAAGTCATTGACAATTTCGTCTTTACTCCATCTGTCATGATACAGTGGTGAGAATTTTGGTTTTCTTGATGTTGAGATCTAATTCATACTGAAGGCTGTAGTCTCTGGTCTACTGCAGCAAGCAGGTCAAGTCTCCCTCACTTTCAGCAAGCAAGGCTGTGTCATTTGCATGATGCAGGCTGTTGCTGAGTCTTCCTCTGACTCTGATGCCACATTCTTCTTCATAGAGTCCAGCTTCTTCAATAATTTGCTCGGGATACAGATTAAATAGGTTTATAGAGAGGATACACCTGTTATGCACATCTCTTAGTATTAAACTATGTAATTTTTCCCTTGTGCCTTTTATACACCAGACTCTTTGTCTAGGTATCTATTGGTTTCACATGAGCACAATTAAGTGTCCTGGGATCCTCACTTTTCTAATGTTAACCATCATTTGTTATAACCCATACAGTCAAATGCCTTTGCATAGTCAATAAAGCATAAATAGACATTCTTCTGGTATTCTCTGCTTTCATCCAGGATTCATTTGACATCTGCAATGATATTCCTGGTGCCATGCCCTCTTTTAAACTCAGCTTGAACTTCTAGCAATTTTCTATGTACTGTTCTAGTGAGTTTGGGATAATTTTCAGCAATTTTTTGCCTGCATGTTATATTCATTATATTGTTCAATAATTTCTACATTCTATTGGATAACTTTTATCGGGAATGAGAACAAATATGGGTCTCTTCCAATCAGTCAGGCAGGCAGCTCTCCTCCACTGACACCTGACCCAAGCCTTGGTATTTTCATTTGCTTCATATGCATCTGAAAATTGAACAGTTAAAAAAGGAAGACTGAAGAAGAATCAATTCTATTGAATTCTGGCATTGGAGAAGAGCACTGAATATCTCCTCAGTGGCCAAAAGAACAAATAACTCTGTCTCGGAATAAATGCAACCAGGGTTCTACTTAGAGACAAGGACAGTGGATAAACCTTCATCTCACATATTTTGGGCATGTTTTCAAGAGTTCAGTGTTTGAAAAAATATACCATGACTGGAAAGGTGGAATATCAGAAAGGGAGAAGACAATATGAATCGATAGTATTTCTAACAACAGGCCACTCAAGCACACTGAAATCTTAAAGATAGTATAGGATGGGGCAAGGGTCAGATCTGTCTTCCATAGAATTGCTGGGAGTACTTATTCCAAGACATATTTGTTCATTATTCTGGCTGTCGATGGTATAATATCCTTCACCAGCATCATAATGCAAGTAATTAATCAATTCTTCCTCCGTCTTCCTTATGTGTTGTTCAATTGAAAATACTATCGTCTGGGTCAGGCACATCTTCGTTCTCAGAGCACACATGGTTTTGTAACGCCTTCAAGAGATCTCTTGTGTCATGACAAGTTAAATCACAAGGATCAATAAATGAGTCAAATAATCACAGTGAACATAGATAATGAGTTGACGTAACCTTAAAAAGATCCTTATAGGGAGCTCTGGTGGCCTAGTGGCAGGAAGCTGCACTGCAATCCCAGAGGCGCATGGTTCAAATCCACCAGATGCTCTGCTGGAGAAGGAGGGACAATCTCCTCCTGTACCAGTCAGATCCAATTTGACGGTATACACACAAAAATTAAAATAAAATATTTTTAAAAGGTCCTTCTACCTTGTGAGTCCTGTTTTTCTTGAACTTGAATTGCTATTTCATACTTAGAGATTCGTTGGAAGAGCTAAGATGGCTTATGTAAGACGCATGCTTTCTGCGTTAGATAATGACCTCTTCTCCCCTTGACCTTCTTCTTTGCTCCCTTCTCCTTTGTTGTTGTTACCTTTATGTTCTTTATTTCTGTCCCTTAGTTCTATAACCTTTCCAGTGTGTCTTCATTTCCTCTTCTTAGTAACAGGGAGCTGGGACCCCCCCCCCCTCCTACCTCCCAAAGCTGTGGTGAGCCCAAAATGATTTTATAAACCATTAAAAAAAAATGAACTCAAATAGAAGTCAGTGCCATTATTAGCAGTATTAACATCAGTGAGTCATAACATTATTTCCCCAGTCAACATCATAGATCTGTAGGTCCCCATTCCAGGATGAATCTGTGATGTATTTATAATGCTTGAAAATCTAAATTCCTGTTTACCCCCTAGCTGTGTCCACATAGACCAGAGAGGGAATGGGATGTGCTGTGTTCATGGGATTCATCAGCTGTGAAAGTGGTAATGGTTCTGAATTGATGGCAAGACTTCGTAGAAGCAAAACAACTGTATTGGCAAATAACTTGTAACAGAACGAAGTCAGAGCTGTGCAAAAGAGGAAGCAGAGGTTCTCTCTTGGTGTGTGTTTCTTGCTGATGGCTCTGAGACACAGGTCAGTGAAACCTACGGCTTTGTGAAGATTGATTCTCCACAGGCCTTGTCCACTGAGAAGCACTGTCCGCAGATGCACTGAGCTCCAGTAAATCTCCCTGAAGGTGGTAGATCTATTTATTGCTTCTTAAATTGCTGTGAGCTTGTGTTGATATCAAGCATAACAAGCAGTAACTGCCTCACTTTGGTCAAGGTTCTGGCGTCCTGGGTTTCTTGTCAGGCCCCTATACTTTAGGACACTTTCTTAAGTCTATGACAGAATGGTTCTCTGTGCCGAGGGTGAGAGAGAAAAGGTTGCCCAGCTTTACCTGTGCTCCCCTTGCAGGCCAGCCTTTTGTAAATCCGGATGGAACTCCTGCAATATACAACCCGCCTACGAGTCAGCAGCCCCTGCGGAGCACGATGGTGGGACAGGCCCCGCAGCAGCCCCCGCAGCAGCCCTCACCTCAGCCCCAGCAGCAGGCCCAGCAGCCGCAGCCGCAGGTGGCAGGCACACTGGTTACGCAGGTAGGTAGCCCTTTGGGAACCACGAACAGGGAATGCCCAGAGATGAAGGCTGCATGTCCCTCCGAGCAACAGTACCTCACCCAGTTCACTTAAGCCTCATAAAAGAAAGCTGGAAGCTTACAGACCTCGGGTTGCTGGTTGACAGGATTTCATTTTTATGTATAGAGAGCGACTAGTGTCCCATCCAGGGATTTGCATGCCAAAGTTATGGTTTTAGGGAGAATGAGGGACTCACTTTTTTCCCCTTAGATTTGAGTGCTGTTTTGATAGTATATCTAGAATCTTAACCTTTGAGGCTAATCTCAAAATACAACCCAAGGTGTCTGCAACCTTGTGGCCACCCATTGCCATCAGACTCACACTATGCTCATGCGTATGGGTCAGATTGCCCTCTACCAAGGGGAAGAGCAGAACTCGGTAAATCTCATGCCTGACCCAGCTGTTCGTAAGCCTCTGATAGACTTGCAGACCCATCCTCTTTCCCAAGTTATTGTCAGTTGCCATTAAGTAAATTCAGACTGAAGACAGCTCCACTTCACACATACTGAGTAGATTTGCTCCACAGGCCTGTCGAGACTATGACCTTTCAGAATCAGAATCTCCACGGAGCCTGTGGGTAAGTTCCACCACTAAACTTTAGACTGAAAGCTACCTGCTTGTTCCTTCGTACAGTCCAAAGATCCTGGGTTACACACTGAAGAAGATAACAGAAGTCTGATGAATCCCAGAGTGATAGAGACTACCCAAGTGAATCGCTTTTTCTTTTAACTCTAACTCATTTTGTATAAGATTTTCCAAACCTAGAAGAACAGTTTAGGTCGTTCTGTTTGCCGAATTCATAAGGGTTGGACTGTGAGCCAGCAGACTCTCTGATGGTTCAAATCCACCAAGGCCCATGACAGAATGGTGGGAATGTCTCCCTGACAGAATAATGCTCCTTCCCCGTGATTTCCAGCCTTCCAGAAACCTACTGGAGGGGAGGCTATGAGTCGGTTCTGACACGGCAACAGTGACTGACAGAAAAAGAGAGGCTCTCTCTATTACCATCAAAAGCAGGGCAGTAATTACTGTTCTTCTTGTAAAAAGAACACACACATAATTTATCTATATCTATATCTAGATCTATATCATCTATAGCATCTATATCTATATCTACATCTACATCTCTATATCTATATCATCTATATATCATCTACATCTCTATCTCTATATAATCTATATCTATATCTATATCATCTGTATCTAACCTATATCTATATATCTACATCTATATCTATATCTATCTATACCAAAAAAAAGGTTTTGTTTGTCATCAGGTTAGAATCAGCTAATAAATGACTCTTGGGAAACTTTTCAGAGGCAATAAATTAGGAGGAGATTGTGCAGTTTTCTTCCACAGAACAGTTGGCGGATTCAAACCACCTACTTTTGGGTTAACAGTGCAACTCCTTACCACTAAGCCACCAGAGCTCCCTATAGACATAGACTTGCAACAGAACATTTGGTATTTCCACATTTCCCCGCAGGTAATTCAGTGGCATTAATCGTGTTGTCCCACTATCACCACTATCTTGGGGAGCTGCAATGGGCCAGCTTGTGTTCACCCTGCAGCAAGGAACCTCCCTGAAGCGCTCTCTGGCTCTGGTCCACTTGACCTTGATTTTCTTGTTGGTGGCTGGAGTGCCCTGTAGTCAGTAGTGTTGCTTCAGATAGCGCAGTCTTCCTGGGAGACTGCTGGGACAGTGCTTTCCTGTTACCTGATCAGTCTTTCTCTCTCCTCCAGTCTATCCAGGGGCTGCAGGCTTCCCCATCGTCAGTGCAATATCCAGCTGTGTCCTTTCCTCCCCAGCATCTCCTGCCTGTGTCTCCAGGGCAACACTTCCCTGTGGTACTGTAATGCGTGTGTCCCTGTGAGACGTGCACTGGTCCCACTGCTTTTCCGGGCAGGGCTGGCTGACACGGGGTGGGTGTGCTGTGCTGTGCAGGGGTGGAGGGGTACGTGCAAGCATCCACTTAGGAGCACTGCATCTGTGCGCAATGACGGCTCCCTCTCTGTCATTTACTCCACGCTTAGTGCTCCTGGGCGCCCTTTAAATAGTTGACCAATTAAGCAAGAACTGAAAGGCTCCCTGGGTGAGCCCTGAATCAGAAGCAGAGAGACTCCGGAATTTGGGGTGAGGGATTAGGAAATAGCTTTAAGTCTTTGGGGATGGGAGCCTGTCATAATCCTGTGCTCCTGGTGTAGGTGTTTCCCTGACACCCTAAAGCCCCAATTCTTTTATTTCTCCCTCAATGTACTAAGACCTGTAGCAGCTTCACAGCTAAGTAAAGTCCTCCTGTCTCAGGCCAGGCAGATGAGCAAATACTATCCAGCTCAAACAGCGAGGTCAACCTCCCAAAACTTCAGTTCTGGTTCCTTCTGCAGCATCACCTTTCAGTGGGAAGGGATGCGGGTGCCTCTGGTGCTCTCTGGGAGACCCTTTCTCTACTCATTGCTGGGAAGACCCCCAGTTCTACAGCACCATCTTGAAGAATGTGAGAGCCTCAAAGAAAAAAAAAAGAACAAAAAACCAAATCACTGAAGATAATTTAAAATAATCAATGAAAAAGAAAACAATTCCTGCGGAGAGGGAGATAGACATCAAATCCCTTTCAGTGACTGCAGTCTGCTTGCTCCTGTTATGCTCTGGCCTGAGAATTCCTTCTTTTAAAGATCTTTGGTTTACCCAGTTGTACTTCCTCCTCCTCCTCTCAAAACTGCAAGCAAACATGTGGCCTGCGTCTACTTGAACGTGCCTCCCCTGTTACTGAGCTCTTGATGACTTTTTCTTTACTTTTCTTTTTTCTTTTTGGCTTGTGTCTGTCACTTGCAGAGAGAAGATGTGGCCACGCAGTTCAGCCAGATGAACTTGAGCCGACAGTCCTCAGGAGAAACCCCAGAGCCCCCGCTGGGTCCTGTCTACCCAACATCAATCTTGCCACAACCAGCCCAGCAGCCAAGCTATGTCATTGCCTCCACAGGCCAGCAGATTCCTCCAGGGGGCTTCACGGGCTCTGGACCACCGATCTCCCAACAAGTCCTCCAGCCCCCTGCCCCGTCACAGGGCTTCGTGCAGCAGTCTCCGCCCACACAGGTGTGTATGCTTCTCCACACACCTGTGACATACAGCTGATCTCATATAGACCTCTATCAGGGACCTTGGTAATATTGTGCTTAACATGTTGGGTTGCTAACCAAAAGGTCGGTGGCTCAAACACACCCATCGCTGCGTGGGAGAAAGGTGTGCAATTTCCTCCATCAAAGATGAATAGCCTTGGTGAGCTCTGGTTGGCCTAGTGCCAAGAAACTATACTGCAATCCCAGAGGTATGCTGTTTGAATCCAACAGATGCTCTGCTGGAGAAGGAGGGGCAATCTCCTCCTGTACCAGTCAGATCTGATTTGATGGTGCACACATACACACACACACAAAATTAATTAAAAAAAAATTTTTTTTAAAGAAGTTGGATAGCCTCAAACACCCAACATCGGGTGATGGAGTCAGACTCCCTGCAGTGCACTTCCAGGCTGCAAGTACAGAGGCCACATGGAAGTATATTTGATCAGTCAGGAACGTCCTTGGGAAAAAGATAGGCCTGTACCTGGGAGACTTCTGACAGTCTCTTACTGCTGCTACTGATATGCACACTTTTCTTTTTGAATATCAATTCATAAGCATTTTCTGGAGTTAATCTGGGGCTTCAGGCAGGAGCTCTGCTATGAATATAAAGGAGGGTGGTAATCCGCCATCGGGTGGCCTCCTCTCCCCCTGGGGGGACGCAGAGCACACGTGAGCTCTCGCGGTAGCCATTAATCATACTTAATTGACGTGAGCATGTAAGACACCACAGATCACTGATTTTTACCGTCTTCTCAGAGAATGATTATGTGTTCCTGCTCTCCACCAAACATCTCGGCTGCTCTCCTGGGCATCTCTTGCAGAATATTGGAAGTGATTACTGTCAAGAAGCGAAATGCGCTGCGGCATTTTCTGGTCCGTGTTCAAGGCACACGCATCCCAAGCAAATCCCATCTTAATTATGAAGCTTTGCCTCAGTGGCGCCACTTCAAGTGCAATGTCACCTTCCTATCACTGCTTGCGCTGTTTTTGCATCTTGAATAAATTGTTGTCTTTTCCAGGCCACACAATAACTACACCGTAATCTTCACTCAAGTTGTTCATTTTAGCTGGTGTGATTCATTACGACCTCCTTTGCTATGGCCTCCGCTGTAATAGATGTTGGCTAGTGGGACATTCAGGGGATGTAAGAAGTAATTTTAAGCCCCACAAGAAAGGGCTTTGTTAATATATTAATTGTATGGTTAATAAGTCAAACACTTCAGGTTTCATTATCTGGATAAAATAGTTCCACTCTTTGGGCTTAAGTAACACGTAAGTGTTCTTACTTATCTTGGTCGTCAAAGAGATGAGCTGGCAGAATATTTAATTGAAGTCTTGAAAAAACACCCCAGCTCAGACCTGATGAAGCGATTTCAATATTAGCCCTCTGCAGGATCAGAGACAATTCAGGACCCCTGAAGGGTCTGCACCAGAGATGTTCTCGTTTCTTCCTCAATAAATTGACAAATGACAGAGAAGGAAGAAACCCAGAACAGATAGATGATCATGGTTCACGGTAAATCTGAACATCTGTGGCACTGATGGTTTTGACCAATACATGAGGTATCTTGGGTGATCTCTTTTGTGCTTATCTATGGACCAGAAGGTCAGAAGTTGAGCCCATCCAATGGTGCCACAGAAGACAGACTCAGGAATCTTCTTCCACCACAATAAAAGCTCAGAAGACCTCAAGGAGCAGTTCTACTTTATAACACATGAGGTTGCCATCAGTCAGAATCACCTTGGAGGCAGCAGGCTGGTTTTGTGGTTGTGGTTGTGGTAAGGTGTCACTGAGTATAACAGGTGTGAACCCTGCCCTATCATACACCAGCCTTGTGATCTCCAACTTGCTCAAGTTCAGGGTTACACTCTGCCAATCCCTCTTGGTGGGGTCTTCCTTTCTTTCCTGATCCTCCAGTTTCTCCAGAATGATGTCCTTTCCCAAGGATTGACCCCTCTTGACAACCTACTCAAAGTAGGTGACCTAAAGTTTCACTTCAACTCTAAGGAGGTTTTTTGTTGTAGTATATCTCTACCAAAAATAATTTCATTCCATCTTTTTGTTTTAGTAATTTTAATGAACATTTACAGAGATTTTGGATTTCCATTCATTTATTTTTTCACTTTTCTCCCTGTCTAGCCCTCTCCCCTGCCCCACCCTCTAGTTTGCTCCTCTCTTTGAAAAAGTAAAAGAAAAATTCTTTCTTTGGTATACAATACCCCTCACCCCTCCCCACCACTCCAGGTACACTACACTATTCGCCCTTAATTCTGGACTCTTGTGATAACTATTAATACCCTATCAGATATCACTTTTAAATTATTCTCTCCCTCATCTGTTTCAATGAAGTATACATAATTTATCCAGTTTTTCTCAGTCTTACCCCAACCTTTATATCAGTTCCATTCTACAACAGTGGCACCATGCAGTATTTGTCCTTTTGTGACTGAGATATTTCACTCAGCATAATGTATTCCAGTGTCACCCATTTTGAATAATATTGCATGAGTTCCTTGTTTTTCAATGCAGCGTAGTCTTCCATTGTGTGAATATACCACAGCTTCTCTATCCATTCATTTGTTGATGGGCACCTGGGTTGTTTCCAACTCCTTGCTATTGTGAACAAAGCTCATTCCATCTTTTAGAAATTAGCACATATAAAGTGGGAAGAAGACTAAAGAAATATTCCTAATCAGTCTGGACATCTGTAAAATACTTTCTTAAGAAACAGCACATCAAAGGAGGCATATATAACACAAATGTCACAGCCACTACATCTGCTCTAGCTCGTAGCAACCCTCTATTCTGTTTCTGAGGCTGCAGATACTTATAAGAGTTAGATGTTGTGTGCCATCGAGTCAGATCTAACCCATAGCTCACCCTCCATTGAGTTTTCAAAAACAGATAATCACACAGAAAGAGATTGCCCATCCTTCTCCTGTGGAGCAGCTGGTGCATTTAAACCAAGAGCCTCTGGCATTGCAGGGCAGCTTCTTACCACTGGACCACTAGAGCTCCCTTTATAAGAGAACACTTCTCATCATTCTCTTATGGAGTGACTGGTAGATTTGAACATAGTGACATTCCAATTAGTAAACGCCTTAGAACCCTGGTTCTCCGTGACTGTTACTACTATGTTTCATTGAGTCCCTTTGACGTATTGCAACCTTAAGTACAAAAGAACTCAACCTGTGTCATTCTCACAGCCTCTGCCGCGCTTAAGCTCACTGTTACGGTCATTATGTCAGTGGACCCAACCTGTGGGCACACCAGAAATAAATTTATGCAGAGAATACAGACATTTAAAAACTTTAAAGATCAGTTACATTTCCTTTCCAAATGCCCACAGGAAGGGTGAAGCTGGAAACATGTAAAGGAGGAAAAGAGGTATCTTGGAATGGAAATGAGCAGAGTCCATATTTTCAGTTTCTTCTTTCTCTTATTTTTTCTCTCTCTTTGTCTAAGTTATTATTTTTTGAAAAAAATTTAGTCTATATTTTAACATTATTATTCTTGTTATTGTTTGTTGTTGTTGTTGTTTGATGCCGTCGAGTCATAGACGACTCATAGAGACCCTATGAACAAACGGCCTGAGCACTCTTCATACATAGAGTTTCCGGAGGCAAGCCATTTCGGAAGTGGATGCCGCTCCTGCTTCCAGGCTTGATTTAGTCGGGAAGCTCCAGCCAACACTGTCCACCATGGGTACCGATGATTCCTGCGCTCACACCACCATGCTCCTTCCTTCTGGCGAGGAGAACTTCCCAAGACCTTGGGAGGAGCCAGCCAACCAGGAACAACATGGCTCCTTCCTCTCCTCTCCCAGCTGCCTTTGGGCTTACGGCTGCCTTCTGGTTCAAACCCTAGGATAAGCTGCCATCAAATTGACCCTTTACTTCTGGCAACTCTACACAGTAGATCAGACACTGCCTGGCCCTTCACCATCCCCAAGACCAGTGGCCAGTTGGATTGGTGTTTTTCAAAGGGTTTCACTGGCTGATTTTTGGAAGTAGATCACCAGGCCCTGCATCATATTTTAGAAGCTCCACTGAAGCTCATCAACATCACAGCAATGTACAAATCTTTAATCAGTCAAAAATACATGATTTTTATCCCTTTTTTGTGTCCTTTCCCCTCCTACTTTCTTTTCTTTTTCCCTCCTCTTTTCATAGTGATTCTTTAAAGAATATCTCTTAACTTAGTTCAGCTTCCTTCCAGAATAAGAAGGATGAAGGTAGGTGCCTTAGGTATTTTTTGCTGTTGTACACAGCAGATGGCTTTAACAAATAGAAATTTATTTCCTCGTAGTTTAGAAAGCTGGAAGTCACCAGCTCTAGGAAAAGGCCTTTTCTTTCCTTAAGCTCTAGGAAAAGGTCTTTGTCTCCTTTCAGCATCATTGGGCTCTACATGTGTTGGAAATCTCCACACATTTGGGCTTCAATCTTCCTCTGCGTCTAGGAGTTTCCTAGCATGGGGACTCTGGGTCCAAACGGATGTACTCTGCTCCCTACTCTTCTCTGATGTCTGGATGCTTGAATAATCTCTTTCCTATCTCAAAATATGTTAACTCAAGATACAACCTAATCCTATAGATTATATCTTGCCTCATTAACACCATAGAAATTACAATTTGTAACAATAAAGGATAATTAAAACAAGTAGGTTAAAAAAGCAGAGGATAACTACATAATACTGACAATCATGTATCATCCAAGATAACATATATTTTAGGGGAAACACATTCCATCCATAACAGTGGGTCAGGTTTCTGTTTGTATCTCATGATTTGTAGCCGTAATTCCCAAGGGCTGAGGAGAAACTAATTAAAAGAATAAAGATAGTTGGATTTGGGACAACTTTGAATACAACGTCTCAAATTATCAATAATTTAGACTAGGAATATAAACACAATAAAAAATAATATTACAACAATAGAATCCTAAAAATGAGACTCTTAAAAATAGTAGTAGTAAGGAATTGTACTGTAGTCGTGGATTATATTGCTCTTAGTTAAGGAGCTCTGATGACATAATCCCTAGCAAGTTGCTCCACTGACCCAAAAGTTTTGCATCTCTCTTAGTTCAAATCCACCAGCAGCAGCACAGTGAGAACCAGACAGGCAGTCTCTGCCTGTTGTGTTTTACAGCCTCGGACACCCAGTGAAGGGTTGCTGTGGGTCAGCGCTGAGAGAAGAGCCGTGAGGCTACTCATAGGCTGGAAATCGGAATTTTTTTTTTTTATGTCTCATCTCTATTCCCACTAGGAAAGTACTTCAGTTTCACTATAATGCTACAAACTATCACTAGAAAGTCCTGATGATGGTAAGAAAATATTGCATCAAACATTCTGAATTTAGTGCTTTTAAATAAATGGCCATTTTACTGGTCCAGATGAGGTCAGACGTTTCAGACTGACCCTGTCCAGATGGCTTGTCTGTGCTTCTCATGGTACTGGCTCAAGAGGATCACCTGGAGCTCACAGTGCCGTCTGAAACTTTGTTTAAAGCGGTTTGACGGGGCTGAGCATCTGCCCTTCCCCACACGGCCTTGCTTCACAGCAGGCTAGCTTGGACTTCCTTAACCTGTCTTCCAAGAAGCTGCCTTGATTCTGAAGGTTCAGACTTGAAGATCTCAGACATTACTTATACATCTGTGTGTGGTTCAGAACAAATTGCAGAGCTAGTTCAGATTCAGGGGCTGGGAGAAGATGCTTCATCCTTTCCATGGAAGAAGTAGTATATACCTATATCGAGGCAAACGAGTGGTTCTGGCCCCATCATTTCAGAGATAACAACATTACAGAGACTACAGAGATAACATCATTACAGAGATTAACTGTACATGGAAAAGAAAAGGGTACAAGGAGTAGGGTACGTCACTCTAGCAGCCCAGGCAGGCTTGCTGAAGACAATCCCAACTCAAAACTCATTCCAGTTGAGTTGGACCCTACTCATAGCTGACCCTCACTCAGAAGCTGGTAATTGTACTGGAGGAATTGCCCATCTTTCTCGGGCAAACAAAGCTACTAGTGAGTTTGGATCAACAGAGAGGTATGGCCTTTGGCTAGTGGAGCAAATCCCTACTGATGATGCCACAAGAACTCCCAAGAGACAAACCCCACAGTCCCATCGTCTTGTTGGATGGCTGATGTGTTCTGCGTTTTCAGAAGTTGCTCAGCGGATAGTCCTCAGTCTCTGTTCCTCCTCTTCCTTCCACAGATGTCCGTATATTACTACCCATCTGGTCAGTACCCTACCTCAACCACGCAGCAGTACCGGCCCCTGGCCTCGGTTCAGTACAGCGCTCAGAGAAGTCAGCAGATGTCACAGGCAACGCAGCAAGCAGGTACTTGGAACTTTCTTCCCTGTTTTTTTCCTCCTAGTGCTGCCATGTTTGCAGGTTGTCCTCTAAGCTCTCCTCTTTGGCTGAGTAGCCAAGCCTGGCAATTTAAATCAGCTCATTTCCCTTTGTCTAAGCAGGTAACAAAGCCCTTGATTTAACTGTACGTGCAATAGTATACAGTACAAAGGTGAAGTTCATCACTGTTAACATCCAAGTCATGCATTCTAAAGACAATTCCCATAAGGCTCCATTATGTTGGGATCCTTTTCGCTTATTTTAAAGCTGAAATCCAATCCTCCCATAAAAATTTAAAAAAAAAAATCTAAAACATAGAAAAGAGAGTTCTTTTCCTGGTTTCAAGGATAGGGAGATAGGTTACACTGGTTCTGTGTCATCATTTAAAAAATAAAACAACACAGGAAACAGGCTTTAAAGGAAGGCCGTGATGATGTGGCCTGTATCTCGGAGGATCTTTAACAACAGCCGACAGCCGTGGCCCAGCCTCCTGCCCGAGCCCTGCAACCACTGTGCAGTGGGAAGGGGGGCCGATACACTGTACGAGAGTGAGTAGCAGGTCTCACAGTGAACCGGTCTCTTTCCCTACTGTGTCACACTCCTGATGGAACGCCGTTACCCAGAGGACAGCGGGAGCCCCCAAGGCTGAGTGACTGGTGCTAGGCAGAGGGTTTGTGTCGTTCCTGCGAACAGAACAGCAGGAGAAACTGCTAATTGTCATGCTGGAGACCGCCTGCCAGGGAGACTCTGCCTCTGTAAGTAGGTCATGCAGGAGAACACGTGTCCTCACTGCAGCTCGTCAGTGACTGCTCTGTGATCTCATCTCCGCACGAGGTGTGTGGATTTTTGCATAGAATACGCACCGTATAGTACACTATGGGTGGAACATATACATAGGACATACACACTTGTTATACAGTCTAACTAGAATAGTTCCCTCTTCTCTGCCAAAGAATAATAGTATCAGACACTGTAAGAATACTAATGCTGACATTGCTAGTATTTTGCCAATTTGGAGAAAGAATTCGGTACTTCCAAATTGTAGGCACTAGAGGATAATTTGTTCATTGTGTGGCCTGGTTCAAGTGTTGGAGAAGAATTCGAGGGATGTATAGAGGACAGCCAGACCAGGTTTTATTTCTACAACAGGCTTTGTGTAGGACACAATCTATTTTGACCCCTGGAAACACTTTATGCTTTTGCAGGAATGTTTAAACAATGTTAGGACATTAACCATTTTAAGGTAAGCATTTGGGCACATTTTTTATGACCCCTGGAAAGTGTTCTTAACTTGATCATTTTGGAGGTAATCGTGCTTGCTTTCCATATAGATTGGTTCTGTACTGAAGTGTTAATTCCCTTTTGAAATGTCTTATCTTCTACTAAAGCGCTGGTGGCCAAATGGCTTAGGAGTTGTGCTGCCAATCCAAAGACAGGCAGTTTGAATCCCCCAGCTGCTCTTTGAGAGAAAATCTCACACACACAGAGAGAGAGAGAGAGAGAGAGAGAGAGAGAAATAGGCAAGCTCTGCCTATGAGATTTACAGCCTCTGAGAGCCCTCCGAAAAAGTCAGCTGTGCATGGGTTCTGACTTAACTGTACATAACAGACTGTAACAATGTTTATAAAAAAAATTAACATAGTTCTCTAAATGTCAAGAGGTTTCATGAGATTTTCCTTGGGATGACTAAAGATGTAGGCGTGTGATTATATTGGTTTTTGTTTTACTTAGTTTTGTGCCATGTTACATAGGTTTATAGAGAAATATTTTAGTACTGTGTTAAGGATGCAACAAGTGTGCTGGATGGAAACCACCAAATTGAGTTGAGGAGTTGAATCTGAGTAAGCTGGATGGTTGACAAGGTGACTGACTCTGATTTAGGGTGAGCTTCAGTTTCCCTGTGACCCTGCTTTGTACTTTCCCCCTTCACTGCTGAGTGTGAATGTTACCAGGGAGAATATAGGTGACAGTTTTGATTCATTGGTGACATGTTGTGAGAGCACTGAGGGACCGTCAAACTTCAACTCATTGTTGCAAACACTGTGTCAATTCCTCTCCATAACCGTCTGTATCTCCTTTGATGACTTCTCCAGCTATGGGCCCTGGGCCCTCTGCTTTTCCAAGCATGTTGTCTTTTTCCAAGGACTGGCCCTCTTTGGATAGGACATGCCCAAAGGATATGAGATACAGTCTCCACAGCCTTGTCTCTAAGAAGTACTCTCTCTCAGCTTCTTAGAAAGGGGTTTGTTCTTTTAGAAGTATGCTTAGCAGGACGAGGCTGGCATGGCAGGTTGTTAAGAATAACACTGTGTTGATGGAGGATTTCACAGAGTAAAAAGCCTCTTTGGGTAACTGTTTAATCTACCTGGAAGAGCTTGACCTTAGCTTCATCCTTTGTAAGTGGACTTCTAACACCAGCATCGGCTTGGCATCTCTCTTAATTTCCTAGGGCTGCTGTAACAAAAATGGCACAAACGGGTGTCTTTGAAGAACAGAAATTTGCTTTGCATTGTTGTTTGCTGTTAGGTGCTGTTGAGTCATAGACGACTCATAGCAACCCTATGAACAAGAGACCACTGTTCATATAATATTGCTTTTCATAGTTGCTTAAAATAAAAACCAAGATCTCAGCTTATTAGCTTATTTCCTTTCTTGGGGGTAGCCCACTCAGAAATGATTAGATTTAAGAGGTTCTGTGTTGCTCTGAATGGAGCTCTGCTGGCCTAGTGGCAAGAATCTGCGCTGCATTCCCAAAGGCACATTGTTCAAGGCCATCAGCTGCTCCATGGGAGAAGCATGGGCAAACTCCTCCCATGTGATTAACTGCTTCTGAAAACCCACTGGAAGGTCAGCTATGGGTCGGTCCAACTCCATATACAGAACAACGTGTTACTATGGCCTCTTCAACAAGGGAAGTCTTCTCAAACAACTGTTGTTGCCACAGGTATAGAGGCGAGGAGTCTGACACACATTTTGGCAGATGTAATTCAATAAGTAACAGCACTGTCCGCGGTCCATTGATACCTGACTTCTCTGAGTTGTCCTCTTTCTATCTCTTGCAGCCCTGCATCTGGGGCCCAACCCTGTTCTTCACGCATCTACTAGTGACTCCAGATTATACCATGATGTCCTCAGCTAGAACATGATTAAGCATCTCAATGGGGCAAAATTATGTCTGTTAAAGCCAAATGAGACTTTAATCCCAGTTTACATCTTGGCACTGTTCTTAATTGTTATTTAACTGCAGTGAGTGGTGTCTCCTCCTTCTCCTGCATTCTTGGCAGAAAGGAAATCTCTGATAGTAACTACATTTTTCCTAGACCTTAAAAACTATACACAGTGAATTTTTATGATGCAAATTGGATGCTCTGCAATCGATTAAATAGGACACTGAATTTGCACTGATTCCCGGTAGAGGGACATATGCTCTTCCTTCTAATGAGTCTGCAGTTTTCACTATATCAGTGAACGGTGAAGGTGCCAAGTCTGTGGAATAAGAATCCTATGCTGCTGGTGATTATAAAAAATGGCTACTAATGGTCAGCAGTTTGGGAGAAATCACATGTATATTTCCACAATGATGTTTGGCTCCTGTAGCTACAGATTTGAGGAGGAAAATAAAAGCCTTTCATTTAAGAAGGTTTCCAATAGAAAAATGGTTTCGCTGTCAATCTGACATTTTCAGGTCACCCTAGAGTGGAGGACAATTGTCTTTATGAAGCCGTTGTTGATAACCCAACATCGAGTAGGAGTGTGGTTGTGATGTTTAGCCAAGTGGGGAGTTTTTAATCACTCTAATTTAAAAAGAATAAAGTTGAGAGCATCTTACCTGAGAATAAAGTTTCTCAGTGGTCCATATTGAAAAGAATGATGCTAATGTATGCAAATAACTCATACATATTTTGAATATCATGCAGCCTCGAGTGTTATTTTCCTAAGCTCACTATACGAATTTTGTTTTTCACATGTTGATGACTTCAAGTGTTTTCCTGTCCAGTGCACTTAATGTGAACGTTTGCTTCCAGCAGCCTGCCCGCCCACCCCAGAATTCCTAAAACAGCTCTTCTCTCTATTAAGTCTCTGCCAATCCGTTTTTTTCTTGTGCAAGAAACCACGCTTCCCGCCCTGGAAGCAGCTTCTGCCAATGCAGGAGGTCCTAGCCCGGAGGGTGCACAGATGGGGGCCTTTGGGGCTGGAGAGAACCTGACAGGCAGGTGAGGCTGCATGCTTCCGCTGTGTACACTCCTCCATGCTGCCTACCTTATGGGAGACGATGCAGGGTGAGGACAGTCACAAGCAGAGAAGCTCTGCGTGGCCCTCATGCAAATGAGATGAACTAAACTAGCTGCCTGGGGCCCTAAGGAGTTGGGGCACTATGCAGTCAGACCCATGCCATCTTGCCATTCAGTTAAATACAGGGTGGGCACTGTGAGATTCAGGCTGCTGTGGGCAATGACTCCTGCCCACTTCAGGACCACCTTTGCTGAGACTATGGCAGCCCCAATACACAGCCCCCTGCCCGACCCTCCACCCATCTCTGTTGCGACATCACTCGGACATATTAGACAAAGATGCTGTCCAAGTTCACGCAGCCACAACTGCTCTAAAGGTTCTGGTGTTTCTTTTTAAATTACTGGAGTACTTCCACACTTGATCCATGAGTTTCTGATCACAGTGTACACCTTCATTATACAAATATGATCAAGATGAACCTGGTCAGTCTATTAGAGGAGGGTAAGTGAAGCCAAAATTCACTTCTGGAAAGTAGATGAGTGGTGTATGAGTGAGCACACTGTGATGGAACTTCTCATATAATCCCATCCTTTCGGGGGCTTGCCATTTATGTGGAGCATTATTTGTGGAAATATATAGTCATGACGAGAAAGAAGCATTGTTCCCTAAAGGTTTTTAGGTTGATTTCAGTAGTTTGTTATCTTACTGCTTTCAATTGATACCAGTTGTTGTTGTTGTTGTTATGTGCCATCGAG